TATGTATACATATATATATACATATGTATATATATGTATATATATATATATATATATATATATATATATATATATATATATATATATATACATATATATATATATGTATATACACATTCGCACCTTTACCTGTGTGGCGCACACAACTCCGTAAAACCAATTAGCCCGAACCCGCGGCCGATCCGTCACAAACCCAACCAAATGCTGCCGCGGCTCTTTGCCTGAGGACTCTCGCTGGAGGACTCACTCACTCCTCCCGCAGAGTACACCGAAGGACTCTTAATGGGCTTGAACACGACGGAGGACTCACTCAGTTCGGGTGGACTTTTACTCACCTCGAAAGGACTGACCTCCCGCTAAAGGGACTTGTGTTTTGGGATTTACTCACGTCGAAATGACTCATGTTATAGAGATTCACGTCAGATAGGACTCACTCACGCTGCATAAGTGCTATAAGGACTTGGGCGGAAAGGACTCACCGATAGAACTCCTTGCTCGCGTCGAAAGGGCTCATTCATGCTAAAGGACTCACTCGCGCCTTAATGAGACATTACTCATCTCGACGCCAAAGGGACTCACAGCAAAAGGACTCAACTCACATAAAAAGGACTCAACTCACAGCAACCTGATTCAACTCACATCAACTTGACTCAACCCCTATAAAAAAGGACTCAATTCACATCAACTCGACTCAACCCCCATAAAAAAAGGACTGACCTCACATCAACTCGACTCAGCCCCCATAAAAAAAGGACTCAATTCACATCAACTCAACTCAACCCCCATAAAAAAAGGACTCACCTCACATCAACTCGTCTCAACCTCCACCAAAAAGGCCTCAACCCACTGACCTTGCACCCGTCGCTGCTCCACGTGAGAAGATCCTTGTTGAAGAAGAGGCAGGAGGAGGTGAAGGCACTGAAGTAGTAGTTGGTATCGAAGTCAACGGCGAAGCTCTCGAGGACCGTGTTGTTGGGGGGGTCTTCGAAGCAGGGGTGCTCCTCGGGCTGTGGGGGGAAGGGGAGAGAGAGAGGGTGGGGGAGAGGGGGAGAAGGGGACAGAGAGGGCGGGGGAGAGGGGAAGAGAGAAGAGGAGAGAGAGGGGGTGGGGGAGAAGGGGGAGATAGAGGGTGGGGGAGAGAGAGGGCGGGGGAGAGAGAAAGCGGGGGAGAGGGGGGGAGAGATAGTGGGGGAAGAAGGGGAGAGAGTGTGGGAGAGAAGGGGAGAGAGAGGGGGGGGGGAGAAGGGGAGAGAGAGAGAGAAGGGGTGAGGGGGAGAGGTAGAGGGAGGAGGGAGGAATGAAAAGATAAAAGAGGGAGAGAACGAGAATGGAGGGGAGGAATGAAAAAAAGGGAGGGGAAGAAAGAGAAAGAGAGGGAGAATTAACGATATACAAGCATACCAGTAAATGATAGAAACGATTTACTTTCATTTATCCATCAAATGCAGATAATAACTGACTTTATTTGCCCCCAAATTATATCACTACTAACAACAATAACAGTGATCAGAACAATAACAAAATACCAACATTAACAATTACAAAAATAACAACACCAATAATAATATCAAACAATAACAATAGTAATAACAATAATAATACTACCAACAACAGTAATAATATAAATAACAATAACAATAAAAAAACCTACAATAACAAAAGAAAAATAACAAGCAAAAAAATAACAGAAAAACACACGAACCTCAGGTATGGTGTAATTGAGTTTTCCGAGTCCCACAGAATACGTGCCTGTGACGTCACCAATTGTATCGGAATCCAGGAATAGCTCGAAAAACCCGGTGTCTGTGGGGACGGGCGAGGGAGAGAGAGAGGGGGGGGGCGGGGTTAAATGTGTGTTAAAAGAGTGAATATTGGATCAGTGGGAGGGACAAAGGGGAAGAGGGGGGAGGGGAGAGGTGAGGGGGTCAGAAGGTCACTGGGTGTGATGATGATGGTGATGATTTATGGTGAAGGTGATTGATGGTGAATATGGTTTTGGGTTTATGATAGTTTATCTTTATCATTAGTTATCATAATTTACTATTACTGCTATTATTAGTACTAGTGCTGTTATCATCATCATTAATACCATTTACATTAAAATATATAATTATTATGGTTAACAACATTTGTATTGAATTAAACATCCTTCTCAATAAACAACAGTAGCAGTCATTTTGAAGCAGCCACAACCCTTCCTCACACACCCACACACCCTCTCTCCTCGTACACGCCCACATACACCCTTTCTCCTCACACCCACCCACACATACTGAATTCCCTCCCCACAGACCGCGTCATACATACCCACGCATACCCCCTCCCCTTCCCCATACCTCTCCTCACACACACACACACACACACACACACACACACACATACACACACACACACACACACACACACACACACACACACACACATACACACACACACACACACGTACCTTCATGATAAGTCAGATTGCTGAGACGAACGATATTCTCCATGAACTCGGGCGTGTTATTGAGCCTCGAAGCGGACCAGACCAGCACCCAGTCCTCCACGCCCGTGTCGTTCTCTGGGCGGACTAGGATCGTCACGCCCACTCTCGGTGCTGGGACGTCGACGGTGTGGACACTCAGCCCGAGTTTGGGCGAGATCTGAGGGTCTGTGGGAGGGTAGGTCGGGTTATGGGAGGCAGGGGGTTGTTGGCTGATACTGGTTGACGTTTCGTTTTTTCTCTTTTCTTTCTTTATCTTTTTCTCTTTCTCTCTCTTTCTCTTTCTTTCTTTATCTCTTTCTTTCTCTCTTTCTCTCTCTCTCTCTCTCTCTCTTTCTCTTTCTATCTCACTCACTCATTCACTCTAACTCAATTATTTTTTTTTCTCTCTCTGATTCACTTACTTATTCTCTCTCTCTCTCTTTCTCTCTCTCTCTCTCTCTCTCTCTCTCTCTCTCTCTCTCTCTCTCTCTCTCTCTCTCTCTCTCTCTCTCTCTCTCTCTCTGTATGCAAATAAGTATTTCTGTGTGTCTACGCATGCCTAAGTACATGTTCCCGTAAGCTTAAACACATACAACATAACCTACAACAACACTAATCCATACCAAAAAACAAAACAAAACAAAAACAAAACAACCATTCACCTTAACAACCCAAAAACCAAACCATTACTCCCAACAACCACTAAACTACCATGAACCCCAACAGCCCGAACCGACCCCGCTTTACCAACAAGCTCGGGTTCCTGCACGGTCTCCTTCGCCCTGGGGATGTACATGATGAAATCTTGCAAGGAGTTGTTGACCGGGATGGGCATCGACCTGGAATCCACGAGGGAGAGTTGCATCGTTGCAGAATCGTCACTCAGCTGGTCTCTTCCGCCGCCGTAGCCATGGACTTGGCCCTTCCATTTGGCCATCTGGAGGAGGGGAGGGGGGGGAGGAGGAGTCAGACAGGTGGCGGTTTTTGCGTTAAAGAGTATCAAAGTGTTTTATTTTTCTTCAATGCCTTTGGATGTATTCTTTATCTTATAAGTGTCTCCGGGTGTATGTGAAGTGTTTCAGGGTTTATTATTTATGTTAAATGTTTCTAGGTCTTAACCCAACCACCACGGATCTATAGTCTGCCCCCTTTAGTTTCTTGTGAATTGTGAATTTTGTTACATACAGATGGCCCCACATGTGCTCAGCCGGCAAGGAGTCTATCAATAGGCCATAGTGACCGATCCTGATTTCCACATTCCTTGAATTGGCGGGAAAATGTTAATGTTTAATACAATTGATATTGATACTGTTGCTATTGCTATTGGTGTTATGATTATTTAATTGTTACTAAAATCTTGGTAACGTTTAAGACAGTGAAATGTTATAAAAGACCTTTTCCAAAAGTCAAGGAAAAGGGTAAACAGGTGAGATAGGTAGGACTAATAAATGACTCCTTGGTGATTAAGCACTTTTAGAGACATCTATGTGTAAATACAATAAATAAACTTATATTACAGTGGGAATGGCATATATTTTTGCCACCCATGCTGATTGGGTTAATTGTCTTTAAGAATACATTGTTCATATCAAGTGCCTCTTTGTGTATTAGTTTTGTTAAGTGTCTCAAAGTATATTCACAAAGTGTTTGGTTTTATGGTCATGACCTGGATTTCAGGATCTTGCTATACTTTTTGCATTAAAAATTTTTAAAAGTTTAGCACTTCTTGTATCTCATATATGCATGAGACAATCAGATTCCAGTAAATTAAGTACATTGTACACATTGCACACAAAGTTGTTTATATGAATATTTGTGGGAAATGTCTCCATAGCTTTAATCAGATTTTCAAAGGGATACGTTAATCTAACAAGGTAAAGAACCACTGTATTGCAACTTACCATACTCTTGATTTCATAACATGTTTCAATGATAACAGTAATTCTATCACGATAACCAGAATCATTCTTATCATAATATAACCTAAATTATACCGCATTACGTTAAATAGCCTCATTGTTTTACACACACACACACACACACACACATCCTCCGAGAGTTTCTAAAACAAAGTATGAATGAGACTGAATAATCTAACAAGAAAAGGTGAATTACTGACGCTTTGTAACATTCATTAAACATAATATTTGCTTTTGACAGTATTCATTAGTATTCATATCATTCTCAAAATATATAATTATCATAAAATTATATCTTTTGAGAATGATCGACTGACTCCCGAACCAAATGATTAAAATGCATTTATTTACTGGTCAGAAATTCAGTAAAAAGATAATTATATCTGATACAAACACAAATAAATAGATTAAAAAATCGATAAATGAAAATATTAATAAAATGCTCCGGGAAAGAATAGCAAATACTCAAATTAAAAGAATAGAGAGAAATCAATCTTGATACAACAACAAAGACAATAACTGTGATGACAATACCATTGACAACATTATTAATAGCAGTACTACTACCACTACTACCAATGGCTATAATAATTGTAATGTTAATGATGATGATAATG